TAGCTGAGACTGTTCTATAGCTTCACAACACAGGAAACCTTTCTCAAAGATTTATCAAGATCTAGCTTTATTTAAAGTTAGAATGAGCAGAATCTTCCTAAAAACAAAAAAATACATAGACTTACTCAGTGGTAGAATTATTTAATAATTTAGTAAAAAGTTAAAGAAGTGATACCACACTATAGAAGTACGCAACAGCAAGTAAAAGTTGTGTTCCAAATTTAACTTATTATCAACAAAATACACTCAAATGATCAAAAGTAAAAGTCTTTGTTTGTCAAAATGGGTCCTGTCAGTGTTATTATTGATGAATTAACATGTAAACAGTACTTTAACATTATAACATGTTGAGGTAGAGCATACTTTAAATGCTTTATATACTTTTTGGAAGTTCAATCCATACGTAGCATCATAGTTTATACAATTATCATGTTTTGTTTGCAAAATATTGATCTTAAAAGTAACTTCAACTTCTGAAATATAGTGAAGTATAAACTAGTGATTCAGCACAACATTTTATAAAGGTGAGCTATCCTCAATGACTAATAATCTAATCTAAAACCATTACTGGCCAAATGCATGTTCTAAAATCTACAGCATAACCCAATTTATTTTTCTTTTATGACTTTTCTTTGTTTTAATATCAGCATTATATATTGGCCATTGGACGTCCTGCTCTTTAAATATTGGCTTCAGCCATTGAAAACGCTACATTGGTCAAACACTATTTTTAATCAACAGAGGAAGTGGATCCTTTTCTATGAAGTCTGCCATGTTTAATTGCCATGTTTCTACAGTAGCCCAGAATGGACAAACTAAACACTGGCTCTAGATAGGGTCTTTTGCGTCTTTATGGCCACCGAAGTTTCTCCTTAATGCTTGGTTTAATCAAGGGGTTTCAGTTGGTTGTGAACTGAAACTTCATCACTAGATGCCACTAAATCCAACAAACTGGTCCTTTAAGACTTGACTCTGTGGATTGGTTACTTATTGTCAGACTGTCGTCTCTCACACGAACATAGTAACTATTTATTGTTCATCTTTCCAACAGCACTGTGGGATGGAAACACTCATCTCATTAATGCAGTCCAAATGATTACAGAACAGGAGGGAGGGGACATTAGATATGGGTGTTCCTTCTCATTCTCTTTCTCTGGAAAAAGAAAGATCTTCTGTAAGGATGAATGTAAAGAAAAAGACATTCTTATTCAAACCACTGCTAAAAGCGCTCAGCATGGCAGATACGGCATTGAATATGAAGAAGGAACTTTTGGATTATATGCAGTTCTCTATGTGAGCATCACAAAACTGACCAAGTCGGACTCGGGACGGTACAAATGTTTAGCCAGACGTATGTTTCTAGATTCAACCAAGGACTTTGAGATCAGAGTTGAAGATGGTGAGTCATGAAATGAACTGAATGTTGCAGCAAACACATTGATGACCTCCTGCATTTAGCTGTATGATTAAAACTACATTGATACATTGACTGTTTGCAGAGAATTTGTGTTATTTCAATGAAATGTTACCACAGAGTTCTTTGTGTCTGTACAATCAGTATCTGATTGTTTCATTGTGTTTTTCATGTTTCACAGCTCCAACCACTTCAAAACCAAACAGGAAACCCACCACCAAAGCACCTTTTACACCATCAGTCCCATCAGCCTCCACA